GAGAGAAAGAGAGAGAAAAACTAAACTAAGCCAATAAAAAGCAATGAAGAAGGAATAAGCAGAGAAAAGGAAGATATAAAAATTACAAGATAAAACAATTTCAAATATCATAATAAAGACTTTTGATTTCTGGTCAGGGATGTAGAGAGTCAAAAAGAGCCTTGTGCCTACCCTTTCAATTAAAAAGAGAAAAACAGTCAAACTCTAAGTTCATGACTTTTGTTGAACCCAAAGAAGTGAGGTCACAGGGTAACCAACTAGTCCCAAATCTAAGGAGACACAAGGGCAGAGGCAGCCAGAAGCTGTCAAGCATATTTCAGTTAGAATAAATAACAAATTGGTGGAGGCCAAATGGAGGCTGGTTAGACAGTGTGGAGCAGCAGAGTTCACAAACTTCTTCTTCATGGGCCCAACAGGTATACACAAAAAAGACTGATGAGAGTCTTGAGAAAGAGAGGCCAAGGTACAGGCCTGAGGAAGGGGGGCAATAGCAGCCAATATAGGAGGGGCACGCCTGGCTGGTGTGGCTCACTGATTGAGTGTCGACCCACGCACCAAGAGATCACTGGTTTCATTCCTGGTCAGGGCACATGCCCAGCTTATGGCCCCAATTCCCAGTGGGGGGGCATGCAGGAGGAGGTCAATCTATGTTCTCTCTCATCGATGTTTCTATCTCTCTTCCCCTCTCCCTTCCTCTCTCTCTAAAATCATAAAGAAAATTTTTTTTTTTTAAAAATAGGAGGGGCACTAACTTTTGCTTGCCTCCTCTAGGGAATTAATGGTTTAATATGCTTGGAATACTAACCTCCTTGCAGCACTAGGGAAACCTTTGTACCTGAGGAAGGGGCAGGACTATATTTTGGGCCTAGGACTATAGTAGGGCAGGAGCACAAAGAAGGCCAGATCCAGGGACAGTGCATCCTAAGACAGGCTTTATCAGAATAATACAGCAGAGGCGTTTTCTGCCCTGCCAACTTCCTATAACAGGTAACAGTGGAATACTGCTGAAGACCGACCCTTTCTGAAGTGCTGTGCAAAGGGAAGACCTAAAGACATTGAGAAAACACTTTGGCGAACCAGTCCCCAATCTAAAAATAAGATATTGCTAGGGGAATTTGAAGCCTGTGGTATAATGAGGGTAACCACAGAAACAACAAACCTCAAACCCAGCCCAACTCCTGACTATATTAACTCAAATCCCCCACATTAAAGTCCTACCAGAAAAAAGGTGTGCGCATATCCAGGCATAAAAACTATTTACCTTAGTCTACTGTCCTACACAAGATGTTCAGTTTTCAACAGAAAAAATTACAAAGCACAGTAAAAGGTAAGAAAAAACAAAACACTACCAAGAGACAAAGCAGTCAACAGAACCAGCCTCACATATGATGCGGACTTTGAAATGATCTAACGTAATTTAAAGTAACTGTGATCACAGTTAATATCAGCTAAAGGCTCTAAGGGAAAGGTGAAAAACATGCAAGATCAGACAGGTAATATCAGTAAAGAAATGAAAACTCTAAGAATCACAGAAGTGCTAGAAATGATAACACACTAACAGATGTGAAGAATGCCATCAATAGCTCATCAGACAACTCACGAAGTGGAGGAAAAATCTATGAACTTAGTAATAACCCAACAGAAACTGAAACACAAAGAGAAAAAATAACGGGGAGAAAAAGAACAGAGCATTCAAGAGTTGCTGGACATCAAACAATCTAATAGATGTGAAACCGAAATCCCAAAAGAAGACAGTATGAAACAGAAAAAAATATTTGGAGAAGTGATGACCCAGAATTTTCCAAATTTAATGGCAGACACAAATCCACAGATCTAAGAAACTCAGAGAAAAAAACAAAGCAAAAAAACACTCAATTCATATCATATTTCCCAAGAGACTTTCAATTTCATCTAAAATTTCAAATTTACCACTTAAAGTTGTTTTGAGAATATTTTTGAAAAGTATTTTCACTGGATCTATACAGGATGGAGCAAGAGTAGATTTACAGTTGTGAGTATGCAAAACACAGTTTATTCTTATATTATTATTTATTAATTATTGTATTATTTTCCATATGAACAATTGTAAACCTCTTTTTGCCCCACCCTGTATTTATGCCTCTTTTTTATTCCTGATAGTGTTTATTTGTTTCTTATTTTCTTGAAGTTTGCCTTATCTTATAAACCAGACTCAAGAAGACACAGAAAGCCTGAAAAGATCTGTAACCCTTCAACAATAAGGATCAAGAGCAACTATATTCACAAAACAAGACTGTTTAAACAAGTAAATTCCAGCAACTATTAAAGTAATGAATATTCCAATCTTACATAAAATTTCTGAGAACAGAAAAAGATAAAATACAATGCAACTCATGCACCGTGGGATAAAAATCAGGAAAGAGTCTCCCCAAAAAGGAAACTGTAGTATAATCTAACTTAGGTATAAAAAAATCTCAAGAATTAAAAACCTGAATCCAGCAATGGGAATGTGTGGTATACATCTGTGTCAATGTTCTGTCACAAACTTGTTTGCCTTTTAGCACTTTAATAAAAGTATTTCAATGTAACTGGTTTGCTTTACAATCCCATATATTTTATTTTATGCATTAAAAACATTATTTTGAGAAGGGCTCCACAGGCTTCAGACTGAAAAAGGAATTCATGGCAAAAATAAAAATAATAATAATAATCCCTATATTAAAGGGACTCTTAGAGATAGACACAAGAAAATGTGCAAGAATCTTTAGACCAGAACTATTTGTAAAAGCAAAATTGGTACAAAGATGAGTGTGGTTCAATGAACTAAGATATACGCACTAGGTGGACTTCTCTAAAAGTCATTACAAATGAAGGAACTGGAGCCAAATGCATCAACCGGGACACATGTTTTAACCTGGATGCTGGATACATGGGTGTTTGATATAAAACTCTTTGAATGGCTAATATAGCATTACTATTACACCAAACTATTTTTATTTATTTTCATCATTTTGCAATTTGAAAACTTCATGAATCATCTCCAGTACAAGCAGTGGCACTTAAGAACTATGTCTCTTCCAGCAAAATCCATCCAAAATCACACTCATTAGTCAGGTACAATTCAAAATACAAATTCCTTAGGGAGCCCCTCCCAAAACCACCTAGTTGGAACTAATTTTCCTCTCCTATTCTCCATAGCAATTTCTATTTAACTCTCTAATTACCATATTTCTGATTATATATTTTTCCAGTTGCATTAAGATATAATTGACATATAGCACTGTATAAATCTAAAGTGTACAGCATAGCCCTGGCCAGTGTTGCTCAATGGTTAGAGCATTAGCCCATGTACTGAAGGGTCACAGGTTTGATTCCCAGTCAAGGGTACACACGTGGGAGGCAACCAACTGATGTGTCTCTCTCACATCAATGTTTCTTTTTCTTTCTCTTCCCCTTCCCTCCATCCCCCCTTCCACTCTCTCTAAGAATCCATGGAAAAATATATCCTTGGGTGAGGATAAATAAAAATTAAAATAAAGTGTACAGCATAATGACCTGACTTACATATATTATGAAGTGATTACCACAATATTTAGTTAACATCCATCATCTCAGATAGTAAATTATATTAAATATAATTTGTGAATGCCTGATTCCTCAAGAATAAGTTCTTAATGGCTGGACAGTACTTTGTATTCCTAAGTTCTCAAAAACGTGTTTACTGAATTTGATTCATTCACCTACACCCACTCTGAAATAAATCCTGAATGTGGCTTAAAAGCTGTGTTTGTATCTTTAATATCAATACTGAGATAAAATTTGATTATAAAAACAAAACTTCCCATTATAAAAGCTAGATTCCTACTTTACATAATCTTACTGTTATTTTTAATTACTATATTAAAAAATACAAGAAAGTAACTTTGAACAATGTAAAACAAAATTTACTTATTTTAAAGGATTTATATACTCCTGTTCAAGTTGGAATGATTGTTTTTTGCACATAGGTATACAGAATGATACATGAGTTAACTATGCCCCCTACTGACTGAAAAAGTATTTTGAAAATGAAATAACATTACAGACAATAGAGAATATGGTCCACATAAATACCAAATGTATCTTTTTTTTTTCTATCTTCACCAGAGGACACTTTTCCATTTTTTGTTCAGATAGAGTGAGAGGGAGAGAGAGGAAAAGAGAGAGAGAGAGAAATATTGACGTGAAAGGGACACATTGAATGGCTGCCACCTGCACGACCCAACCAGGGCTGGGGACAAACTGCAACCAAGGTATGCACCCCTAGCAGGAACCAAACCTGGGTCTCTGTGGACCACAGGCTGATGCTCTAACCACTGAGCAAAACCGGCCAGGGCCAAATGTATCTTTATAATACAAAAGGATTTCATAAAACAACTTTTTCAGATCTTAAATGCATTTAAGATAGAATTAGAAAAAGGGGGACTTCAGAAGAAAGAAGTATAATTCTGGAATTGACTGCTCAGAATCACCACATTACATAACTATAGGAAGCATTATTCACATTATATTCTGTAACAGTGGTTCCTTACCAGGGAATTTTGTCAAGGACATTTGGCAATGTGTGGATACAATTTTGGTCATTACAATGTGGGGGGGATGGGGAGACACTGGTATCTAGTGGGTATAGGCCAGGGTCGCTACTAAACATTCTAAAATGCACAGCATCAGTGCCCATAATAAAGACTTATCTGGTCCAAAATGTTAATAGTGTTGAGGTTGAGAAACTTTGCTCTAGATGAATTTTTTTTTTCCAAGTTGTGTAATAAGGTAACAAAATCAAATGCAGCATTATGAATGGGTCAAAGACATTAAATCTCTGATATCAAAACACACAATTTTAGCCCTTTTTATTTGGGCTACAAAGTCTAGACAGTTTCATAGATTCACCTTTTAGATATATTCTAGGGATGATACAATCTGTGCATTAACTTTTGATTTGCTAATGATATTTTCTAACGCTATTGTGCTTCCCATCATACCTGTGTTTCCATTTCCATCATCCTTTGTTTTATTTCTCTTATTTCTGCCTGTGTTTCTGCTTCTCTGAGTCGAATGGTCATCAATTCATCTTGTAACTCATTCACAGCATTTTTCTTTGGTGGGTCTTTCCATCTCCCAGTAGTACGAGCTAAGTGGCGCTAAAACACAAAAAAATTATATTGCAACAAAAATTCCCAATATCAAAATAAAATCTAACTTTATTAAGCAATTATTTCCGATCCAGTACTATGTTAAGCACTTTATACACATTGCTTTATTTAATCCCTGGAAAATCTAATATGTTAGGCACTATTATCTTCATTACCCAGGACAATGAAATTGTGATAACTTCAGAAAGGTCACACTGCAGATCTCACTGCCAGTAAGTTGCTGATTTGGGAAAACACAAATGTAGTTCAATTCTTATATGTGAATTAATTATTGTAAATAATGCAATTTTACTCTAATTTTTAATGAGATTTTCACATTATTTTTAATGAAAACCCAAGAAAAGGAAAAAATGGAGCTATTTATGAGATAAAGGAACAATATTAGAAATTAAGAGCGGTGTTCTCAAAATACCCGTAGTGAAGGTATAGATTTGTTTGTTTTTAATTTTTAGTTTATTGCTGCCTGATACTTTGCCAAAAAAAAAAAAAAAAATTCCATGGCAATATCAAGGACTAATTTCTGTCTTTGCTAGATGCATCACCTACCCCAAATTCAAACCAAGATCACTACTCTGAAAAACTGTTTAGTTTTTGTTTTCTTCCCTCTCTACCTCTGTCATAGAGAATCTGTTTTTTTAAAATCCTCACCCAAGAATATTTTTCTATATATCTTCAGATAGCGTGGGATAGAAGGAGGGAGAGAGAGAGAAACATCAATGTGAGAGAAACACTTCAATTGGTTGCTTCCTGCACCAGGGTCAGGGAACGAACTGCAACTGAAGTATGTGCCCTTGACTGGAATTGAACCCAAGACTGTGGTCCGCGGGCCGACACTCTAACCGCTGAGCCAAACTGGCCAGGGCAAGAATCTGGTTTTTTGTTCCATGTCAACAGTTTCCCTCATATGTGAATAAATTAGTTAGCATATAATTAGCTAAACATCTGATTTATTTTGTGAGATACAAATTTTCAAAAGAAGTTACAAATTTCTATTGGTGTCAGCCTTTTACTATTTCATACTGAAAAATGGATATAATATCAACAGAAGAAATATGTACTAAATAAATGATTATTTCCTAACAGTTTTTTAGAAAAAATTATATAAATACAATGGTATAACAAAAATATGACTTGATCTCTATCTTATGTTTTATTTAATTGTAAGAGTTAAAAAGAGAGAAACAATTAAAGGTACTTTCAATTTATAAATGCTATCAGTTGTGTATGTTATACAGTGTTTTTTGTACTTTAAACTCCTATCCTAGTGTTGGTCATCAACTACCTCGAATTCACACAAATTGAATATTCAGGTTTTACCCTCTTTTTAAAAAGCACACAAAACATATTGATATACCTGCCAGTGCTCCTCTAAATCTCTGACTTGTTGTCTAAGTTCTTTCAAACCCATAATGGCTTCTGCTTCTCTCAGTTTTACAGCAATGAGTTCTTCCTGAAGCCTTGCAATGTTATTCTCATCAGGAAAGGAGTTGTTTCTCTAAAGCAAGAGACAATTGAATTTGGGATTTTTAAATTTAAAAAATAAAATAAATAAAGCACATAAAATAAGAGCTATTTTGTCCCATATGTAATTATACTTAATTTTATACAATTTTATTGAGATATAATTCACAAACCATAAAACTTACCCTTTAATGTATACTAGGTCAGTGGTTTTTAAGAGTATTCACAGGGTTGTGTAACCATCATAATGATCTAATTTCAAAACATGTTAATTACCCCAAAAAGAAACCTATGACCAATAACTCCACATCTCCCCTGCCCCCAGCCTTTGGCAACCCTTAATCTCCTTTCTGTCTCCATGGATTTGCCTGTTCAGGATATTTCATATAAAAGGAATCATACAACATGTGGCCTTTTATGATTAGCATCTTTTACTTAGCATGTTTTTAAGGTTCATCCCTTTTTGTTGCCAAATCATATTCTGTTATATGGATATGCCATATTTTATTTATCCATTCATCAGCTGACAGAAATTTGTGTTGTTTCTACTTTTTGGCTATTATAAATAAAGCTGCTTTGATTAGTTGGATAAAGTTTTTGTGTGGACCTATGTTTTTAATTCTTTTGAGTATATATCAAGAAGCAGAACTGCCAAATCAGATAACAATTCCACATTTAATTTTTAAGAAACCGTCAAACTTTTCCAAAGCAGCTGCACTGTTTTACATTCCCATAGAAAGGTGTGAGTAAGCAACTAATTTTGAGAACAGAGAAAGTCTAACTCTGCTTTTAAAATAAGACACAAAGCAATAGGATTAAAATGTTTTCAGAAACGCGGTATTGCGTCTTCCCACAACCACATCAAAGTTACAACTAAACTACAGAACAACCATCATCAAAACCACCTGAAATCATCCTGAATGGAAGTCCTACAACTATGGAATTAAAGCAGCAGCCACATGGAGACTGGTAGGAGGGGCGGAGGCGAGAAGGGCTGGTCCCACACCCATGTGTGGCGGATAAAAATCAGGAGGATACCTCGGCTGGGGAGGTCCTCCCTGAGGACTGAGGGGTCCCCGTCCCACACCAGACGCCCCGCTCAGGGTTCCAGTGCCAGGAAGAAAAGTCCCCATAACTTCTGGCTGGAAAATCCAGCGGGAACTGAGGCTCAGGGAAGCAGATGCCACTGGAGCCCCAGGCACTCCTTAAAGGGCCCACTCACGAACTTATCAGACTCACTCCCTCTAAGCTTGGAGGGGAGGCAGCTCAAGGGGCACCAGAGACATACAGGGAAGAACTGATCTGTTTGGAATTGGAGCGAGGGCTGGAGAGGGGGCTTTCTCTGGGACAGGCAAGCTGTCAGAGGCCTTTGTTCCTTTGGTGAGCCCTTCCCTGGGGCAGCAGACAGTCACCATATCTGGAACTCCAGCAACCTGGCTCACACTGGTAGCCCCACCCTAGTGATTCCCTGAGGCCCCGCCCCACCCAACTTTCAGCTATTGCCAGTTGCTTAACCATAGGATTGGCCTGTCTTGGATCCTGCTTCAGGTTTTCCTAAATTCTTTCAAACAAGCAGCATCTTCTCTCAGACAGCCCCATAACTCTCATTAAGTAATACACAGAAACAAACACAGAGAGGCAGCCAAAATGAGGAGAAAAAGAAACAGGTCCCAAATGAAAAAACAGAACAAAACTCCAGGAAAAGAACTAAGTGAAATGGAGATAAACAACTTAACAGAAGCTGAGTTCAAAATACTGCTTATAAGGATGCTCAATGAACTTAATGAGAACCTCAGTGAACTTAGTGAGGGCCTCAAGAGCATAAAAAAGGACCAGTCAGAAATGATGGATGCACAGTCAGAAATGAAGGAGGCATTAACTGAAATAAAGAATAATTTACACAGCTTCAATGGTAGAGTACGTAAATCCAAGATGCAAACATTTGATCTGGAATATAAGGAAGCAAAAAACGCCCAATCAGAACAGCAAAAAGAAAAAAGAATCCAAAAAAATGAGGATAGTGTAAGGAGCCTCTGGGACAACTTCAAGTGTGCCAACATTCGCATCTTGGGGGTGCCAGAAGGAGAAGAGAGAGAATAAGAAATCGAAAACCTGTTTGAAACAATAATGGCAGAAAACTTTCCTAACTTGGTGAAGGAAACAGACATACAAGTCCAGGAAGCACAGAGAGTCCCAAACAAGATGAACCCTAAGAGGCCCACACCAAGACACATCATCATCAACATGCAAAAGGTTCAAGACAAAGAGAGAATCTTAAAAGCAGCAAGAGAAAAGCAGTTAGTTACCTATAAGGGAGTTCCCATAAGACTGTCAGCTGATTTCTCAAAAGAAACTTTGCAGGCCAGAAGGGAGTGGCAAGAAATATTCATAGTGATGAAAAGCAAGAACCTACAACCAAGATTAATTACTCTATCCTGAAAAGCTGTCATTTAGAATCAATGGCCATATAAACACTTGCCCAGACAAGAAAAAGTTAAAGTAGTTCATCACCACCAAACTGTTACTATATGAAATGATGAAGGGTCTTTTTGAAGAAAAAGATAAAATACATGAACAAACAAAATGGCAATGAATACATATCTATCGACAATGACGTCTACAAACAAAATGAACAGGCAGAACAGAAACATTCTCATAGATACAGAGAACATTTTGTTGGTTGCCAGATGGGAGGAGGTTTGGGGGAATGCGTGAAAAAGGTGAAGGGATTAAGAAGTACAAATTCAGTGCTAGATTGATAAACCTCAAAGGGAAAGGGATTGGGGGGGTGGGAAGAAATAAATTAAACTTATATGCATAACCAATGGACAGAGACAACAGTGTGGGAAAAGGTGGGAGGGCGGCGGGAGGGAGGAGGAGGAGGGGGTCATTGGGGGACAAATGAGGAACATCTGTAATACATTCAACAATAAAGATTTTAAAAAAATAATAAAATAAAAATGAAAATGTTTTTAAGCCCAGCCGGTGTGGCTCAATGGTTGTGTGTCAACTCATGTACCAAGAGGTCATGGGTTCGATTCCCAATCAGGGCACATGCCCAGGTTGTGGGCCAAATCCCCAGTGGGGGGCATGGAGGAGGCAGCCAATCAATGTTCTCTCTCATCAATGTTTCTCTCTCTCTCCCTTCCTTTCACTCTAAAAATCAATAAAGGGGGAAAAAAAAAAAAAGGAAAAAAAAATGTTTTTCAACATGGCAATATATTTAGTAACCTGTGATTAGGACTCCAAATGAAGCATAAATATCATTTACAGTTTGAAGATTTATGGAAAAGAATAGTCTAAAATCTGTTTTGTATTTTCTTAGCATGTCACTTTGGAAAGACGTGTAAAATCTCTGTACATTAGTCACTATTTATGTCAATAGTCACAAAATTAATACCAAGGTGATCTAAATATTTGTTTCAAGGGTACAAATCTAGCTTACTGTCCTACCATACTGAAAACTAACCTTAGAATACAGAGTAGCCCTGTATTAAAGTGCTCTGGGGAATGACCAAGAGATCCTAAATTAGGTGTCCAGTAAAAGTTCCTTAGGTAAACTTGAGGTACTAATGAGATTAACTTGAATCTATGAAATCTTCTGTTTCTAATGATGGAATAAAGTTATTCTCACCAACTACACATTTTTATGATGAGCTTTAACTATTTTCTCTATTGAAAACCAGAAATATACTGCATATGCATAAAAAGAAAATCCTGTATGAAGACATTAACCATAGGGAGCACAAAACCTTCCAATTTCCTTTCTACTTTATACCAGGAATACCAACAAAGCTCCTTAAGAAATTCATTTTTAAATTGGACTCAAAACATTTCTTACTGCCCTGGCCGGTTTGGCTCAGCGGTTGGAGCGTCCGCCTGCGGTCCGGAGAGACCCGGGTTCGGTTCCCGCTAGGGGCATGTACCTTGGTTGCAGTTTGTCCCCGGCCCTGGTTGGTCGTGCGGGTGGCGGCCGCTCGATGTGTCCCTTTCACGTCGATGTTTCTCTCTCTCTCTCTCTCTTCCTCTCTCTCCCTCCCACTCTGTCTGTACAAAAAATGGAAAAATGTCCTCGAGTGAGGATTTAAAAAAAGAAAAAACAAAAAAAAAACAAACATTTCTTACTACCAAAAATTCAAAACAGAGAGGTCCAGATTCTTATCTAAATCATGAAACCCAGAATACTCTTAAGTTAAAGACCAAATATTCTGTTAGCCATTTTTCACAGCATTCTTGTTGGCCTTTTTCTCAATAAATAGAAAAACAAAATTTCCAAGGTGATATAAAAATTGCAAGCAGACATATCAAAGTTACAACTAAACTACAGAACAACCATCATTCAAAACCGCCTGAAATCATCCTGAATGGAAGTCCTACAACTACAGAATTAAAGCAGCAGCCACATCCAGACTGGCAGGAGGGGCAGAGGGGAAGAGGCGCGAGGGCCGGTGGCAAGACGGGCAGGTCCCACACTCACTTCTGGCGGATAAAAATCAGGCGGATACCTCAGCTGGGAAGGTCCTCCCTGAGGATTGAGGGATCCCTGTCCCACACCAGACGCCCCGCTCAGGGTACCAGTGCCAGGAAGAGAAGTCTCCATAAATTCTGGCTGGAAAAACCAGCAGGAACTGAGGGCTCAGGGAAGCTGAAGCGGCTGGAGCCCCAGGCAGCTCCTTAAAGGGCCCACGCACGAACTTATCAGACTCTCTCCTTCTAAGCTTGGAGGGGAGGCAGCTCGAGGGGCACCAGAGACATACAGGGAAGAACTGAGCTGTTTGGCACTGGAGTGAGGGCTGGAGAGGGGGCTTTCTCCAGGACAAACGTGCTATCAGAGGCCTTTGTTCTTTTGGTGAGCCCTTCCCTGGGGCGGCACACAGCCGCCATATCTGGGACTCCAGCAACCTGGATCACACTGTTAGCCCTGCCCTGGTGATTCCACGAGGCCCCGCCCCACCCAACTTTCAGGCCCACCCAAGCTGTTGCCACTTGCTTAACCATAGGATTGGCCTGTCTTGGATCCTGCTTCAGGTTTTTCCTAAATTCTTTCAAACGAGCAGCATCTGGTCTCAGCTAGCCCCATACCTCTCGTTAAGTAATACACAGAAACAAACACAGAGAGGCAGCCAAAATGAGGAGACAAAGAAACAGGTTCCAAATGAAAGAACAGAACAAAACCCCAAGAAAAGAACTAAGTGAAATGGAGATAAGCAACCTAATAGATGCTGAGTTCAAAATACTGCTTATAAGGATGCTCAATGAACTTAGTGAGGGCCTCAAGAGCATAAAAATGGACCAGTCAGAAATGATGGATGCACAGTCAAAATTGAAGGAGGCATTAACTGAAATAAAAAATAATTTACACAGCTTCAATAGTACAGTACGTAAATCCAAGAAGCAAACCATCAATTTGGAATATACGGAAGCAAAAAACACCCAATCAGAACAGCAAAAAGAAAAAAGAATCCAAAAAAATGAGGATAGTGTAAGGAGCCTCTGGGACAATTTCAAGCGTGCCAACATTTGCATCTTGGGGGTGCCAGAAGGAGAAGAGAGAGAACAAGAAATCGAAAACCTGTTTGAAACAATAATGGCAGAAAACTTTCCTAACTTGGTGAAGGAAACAGACATACAAGTCCAGGAAGCACAGAGAGTCCCAAACAAGATGAACCCCAAGAGGCCCACACCAAGACACATCATCATCAACATGCAAAAGGTTCAAGACAAAGAGAGAATCTTAAAAGCACCAAGAGAAAGGCAGCTAGTTACCTACAAGGGAGTTCCCATAAGGCTGTCTGCTGATTTCTCAAAAGAAACTTTGCAGGCCAGAAGGGAGTGGCAAGAAATATTCATAGTGATGAAAAGCAAGAACCCACAACCAAAATTACTCTATCCTGCAAAGCTGTCATTTAGAATCGATGGCCATATAAAGATTTTCCCAGACAAGAAAAAGTTAAAGGAGTTCATCACCACCAAACCGTTATTATATGAAATGATGAAGGGTCTTTTTGAAGAAAAAGATAAAATACATGAACAAACAAAATGGCAATGAATACATATCTATCGACAATGGAATCTACAAACAAAATGAACAGGTAGAACAGAAACACTCTCATAGATACAGAGAACATTTTGTTGGTTGCCAGATGGGAGGGGGTTTGGGGGAATGGGTGAAAAAGGTGAAGAGATTAAGAAGTACAAATTCATTGCTAGACTTACAAAACTCAAAGGGAAAGGGGTTGGGGGGGGGAGAAATAAACCAAAGAACTTATATGCATAACCAATGGACACAGACAATAGTGTGGGAAAAGGTGGGAGGGGGGCGGGAGTGGGAAGGAGGGGGTCAATGGGGGAAAAATGTGGAACATCTGTAATACATTCTACATTCAACAATAAAGATAAAAAAAAAAAATCGCAAGCAGATTTCTAGCAAAATTATTCCAGTACTGACTGTAGTTATATCCTGCTCTATTTCATTAAGAAATTGTAAGAACAACTTAAGTCTGTCATATCCATTATTTACGAGCTTTGATTCAATAGCCAGCCAGATCTTACCCAGGGGTGAAAGGAACAAATTCAACATAGAGCCCATGCCATCAATGATTTTATAGATGAGAAAACAGAGTTTGTTATCTAGAACACAGACTCTCAAGTCTGAGAGTTATAAGAAACTCAAAAGCATTTCTATTTCCACTACCTGCCTAACCCTTCAAGTTCTTTAATGATTGAAAAGAAGTAAGTTAGCTTCTGTAGCATACCCCAGGCTAAGGTCTTCCTACATATCCTGAGGTGGCTTATTGTAGCTTGGAAAGTTGTAACAGTTATACTCAGATGAAATTTTCCCTGAAATGTTTATGTATTAGTCACATACAACCTCTTACAGATGAAGATATTATAGTATTTGAGGAGAACAGTTAATTTCTATCCCCTAAGTGTCTCTTTGCCAACATTTAAATATTACTCATATCAAAATTATTCTGTTTTCCTCTTAAAGAACTCTAATCTCTATTTTCACTCTTAAATACAGGGTTTTCAGTAGTATGGCAACAACAAAGAATAATTGGGAATCTTATTATTTTTCCTTTCCTCTCTCAGTAACTAATGTGTAATGATTCTAACGTGTAGAGACACCAAGTCCAATTTAACTGCTCAATAGTAGTTAACAAATATCTATCACATGTCCCCTCTAATTTGGGAGTAACAGTATTTATGTTGCTCTCACCTTCTCCATATCCAGGACTTTATCCTGCATCTCCTTTAGTGCACATTGAGACTCAGCTTCACTCAGACGGGCTTGAACCAATTCTTTTTCTAGCTGTAGCACAAAATCTTCATTGTAGTTGGAACTGCATTTATGCTAAAAAGTACAGACATATACTAAAATTTCATGAAGTATGAACATGTATATACAATAGAAAGTAATTCAAACGCACAGCACAGTTATTAAGGACAATCAATGTTCCATTTACCCAATATTCTCAGCGTTTCTCCTCAAATTAACTTTCCAGTGGATAAAAAAGTTTTGACATCCATAAAGATGACCACATTATTAGGTGCTGGTAACTAGTTATTACACTAATCAGATCCAATTTATAGAAAATAAATATATTTATATCTATCCATCCAGACCTGTACTGTACAATAGTATAGTCATTAGCCACATGTGGTTACTGAACACTTGAAATGTGGATAGGCCAAATTGAAAAAGGTTGTAAGTGCAAAATACAAACTGGATTTTGAAAATATGAAATACGAAAGGCAAAATATCTCATTAATAACTTTTATATTGATTACCTGTTCAAATAATATTTTGAATACACTGAGTTAAACAAAAGACATTCATTTTATCAGTAATTATTAATTACTTTTAATGTGGCTCACAGTATATTGCTATTGGATAGCACTGATAGGACTACAGAAGACAAGTACACATTTACGGAAAATTCTATTTTAATCTAATAGAAATAAAAACAAGGGATCCACAATAATGTGAACCATCTTAAATCCCAGCAAAACAAAAATGTATTTTCTCTTAGAAATGCTCTCATTTGATTTTGTTTTTTAAATCCTCAGCAGAGGGTATTTTCCCATTCATTTTCAGGCAGAGTGAGAGGGAGAGAGAGAGAGAGAGAAACATCAATGTGAGAGAGACACATCGACTGGTTGCCCCCGCACGACATGACCAGGGCAGGGACAAAACCACAACCGCGGTACATGCTCTTAACCAGAATCGAACCCCGGGACTCTTTGGTCTGCGGGTCAATGCTCTAACCACTAAGCCAAATAGGCTGGGGTGAAATGTAGATCTCTTTTTAAAATATGCATGAAAATGATTGCTGGAAGCAGAGAAAAATATATGTAGCAGAGATGCTACATGAACAAATTAACCATGGAAGCATGAAACCTTCCCATTTCCTTCACTACTCTATAATGTAAAGAGCAATGCAGCCACTTAAGAAATCCTTTTTAAACCAGTTTCTCTACAAAAGTTGTTCCAAAAAAAGCAAAAAGATACCTGATTCACCACTCTAAAAGACTTCCTAAAAGAAACTATCACTTCACATTTAATGGAGTAAAGAAAAAATGACAACTCAAAATTTCAAAATAGTCTTATGAAACAACCTCCTACTGAATTAGCATGAGGAAAGAATGGTTACTTTTATTCTTCAGTACATCAGGAACAAAACAGATGTCAAACTAAAATGCTATTAAAGCCCTGTCTGGTTTGGCTCAGAGGTTAGAGCATAGGACTGCGGATCAGAGAGTCCCCGGTTCGGTTCCCACTAGGGGCATGTACCTACCTAAATAAATTAATTAATTAATTAAATAAATAAATAAATAAATAAATAAATAAATGCTATTAAAAAACTATTAAGTGCTTAATTAAAACATATGGTACTCCCTTGCCCCAGTTACCCAAATAGATTATGTCATTTTTTTTTTATCTTCTGGAGGACATTTTTTGTTTTTGGTGGGTTTTTTTGCATTCATCTTCAGACAGAGTAAGAGGGAAAGAGGGAGAAAGAGAGAGAAACATTGATGTGAGAGAGACACATCAACTGGCTGCCACACACAGGACCCCAACCAGGGCCAGGGACAAACTACAACCGAGGTACATGCCCTTAGCGGGAACTGAACCCGAGTCTCTCTGGACTGCGGGCTGACACTCTAACCGCTGAGCTAAACCAGCCAGGGCGATGATGTCATTTTTAAAAATGAACAGTTCACTTATTAAACAAATGAAGACTTTTAAATTCAATATATTATACATTATTTCTCCCAGTGATTTTCTGATACTATTAAAACATTTTAATGCAAGTAGTACAGCTGCAACAGGTATATCACTTTAGCAAATACTTACCTTACCAAATAGGGGAAAGACACTCTTTTGGAATGACCAAACTGCAGGTGCCATAATTTTTGTTTATGTAGATTACAGTTATTTTATAAATAATACTAGGATTTTTTCCCTTAATCTAAAGCCCTAGGAACTGTAGTTCAGATTTGTTTGCCACGACTCTTCTATATTAGGAAATCCCCAGGAGTACATCAAACTCAAGTGGCCCATATGAGAATGGCCTCATTGATCTGGTATAAACCAAATGATCCCACTAAGCACAAAAAACAGTATTACTAATATTGGGAGAGTTTTTTTCAATAATACTCAATGCAACTTTTAATTGTCCTTTATTGTTCAAGTGATAAATTCCAAATTCCATAGTTTACATGTTATTTCTCCTTTCGTACTTCCCATTTGTTTCTCAACCCACTACAAACTAGCGTTAGTCCTTGATAAAACTGCTCTAATTCCTAATAAGATCAATACCCAATAACAACATAAAAACTCAATGAAAGCCCTTTTATTCAGATCTTACCTTCACCAATCAACTGACTACTCTTAAAACTTTCTCCTCCCTTAGAATTTGGATGTTACTCTTCCATGGTTCTCCTGCCTATTTTCTCTGTCTCCTCCACCAATTCTACTTCAGATAGGCATCTATGGGTTTCAATATCATGTTTTCTCTCAATCCTTCCACTAATTTTCTTATTTTGTAGATCTGTCCTATGTGATTTCCTCCATTGTCTATATAGTCTGATGTATAGACAGTATAAGATACTGTCTATGTATATCAGGTATCTTTATACAGTCTATTTATAAAATGACCAAGGAAGTATCTATAAAACAGCAAAAAAGGGAAGGTTGAGGAAAAGAGAGGCAGAAAGGAGAGATAACATACAATGATGGAACTCTAGGGGCGACAGAATAGATAGATAAACAGATATGATTCTCAAATCCATATTTCCAGCCCAGATCTTTCTATTAAGCTAGATCCATATTCACAACTTCCTATTGGTCTTCTGAATATGGTTGATCTCATATTCACCTCACATCCAACATGTCAACACTGAACACCCCATTCTTTCCCTCCTCATGTATTATTATTTTGCTAAGAATCCCATCATCTAACATGACCAGGAAAAACGTTCTCTCTTATATTTAACCCATTCCATTCAATCACAGAACCTGAGTAATTTTTCTTTCAGCTACCTCTTAAATTTGTTCCTCTCTACTTTCACTGTCTTTTATTCATGCCTTCATCTCTTTCTTTGGACTACTGCAAAAGTCCTACATATATCCCTTCCTGTTATATCTGTTACAGTGAGTATCATTATTTAATATTTCGTTAACTTTCACACTAAATTGAAATAGAAGGCATTTTTACAATTCTTCCACATGGACTCTACTGTTTTGAGCCTGAATAAGTTTTTTGTTTGCTTTTTAAAATTCCTCACCCGAGGATATTTTTCCATTTATCTTCAGATAGAGTGGGAGGGAGGAGAGAGGGACAGAGAGAGAGAGGAGCATCCACGTGAGAGAGGCACATCGACTGGCTGCCTCCTGCATGATCCCGACCAGGGCTGGGGACGAACCACAACCGAGGTACGTGCCCTTGACCAGTATCAAACCCGCGACTCATTGGTCCAAGGGCCAATGCTCTAACTGCTGAGCCAAACTGACCAGGGCGAGCCTGAGGAAGTTTTGATTCCGTGTTTATTAATGCAAATGTGTTACTGAAAATTATGCAAACATTGGTCTACTTTTTAAAAGTATTCAGAATGGCCCTGGCTGGTTTGGCTCAGCGGTTGGAGCAACGGCCTGCTGACCAGAGAGTTCCGGGTTTGGTTCCTGCCAAGGGCGTGTACTAAAAAAAAAAAAAAGTATTCAGAATGAATCTAACTCCACAAGCCAATTTCACCCTGGCTAATTATATTCACATATACTTTTGTTGAACAAAAAGTATTTTCACTGGGATTAATTCTTAACATTGATATTGTCTCATTAAACAGAGATTCCGCATTTAATATTGCAGCTGGCAAGTTAGAAAAGGCCCTAGCATTTGTCTGAATGGTTGGCTAAAACATGGACCAATAGGTGACCCACAGTGAGTGAATTAGAAATGCTGAACATGCCTTAGTTTAAGATAGAAGGAAAAAATTGGTGACAAATTTTGGGAAGCTGTAAGTGGATAGTTCTTTCTGAATAGGCTAAAAACATGAAGAAATGTGTGTCCCAAGTGAATGCTCACCAAAAGGTGAGCTCAACAGGGGAGGATTTTAAAATCAATTGGACAGACGACCCATTCTGTGGGTACAAGTCAGCCTCCTTAACAGCCACCCCTGTTGTTGCCCCAAAACAGGCTTATGAACAAAGTGGCCATGGTGACAGGGGTGGAGGTTATTCATGGGTTCAACAACATGAATTTCCACTCACCGAGGCCATGACCACTGCAGAATGTTCAATCTGCCAGCAGCAGAGACCAACACGGAGACCCTGATATGACACCATTCCCTGGGGAGATCAGCCAGCTATCTGGTAGCAGGTTGATTATACTAGATTTCTTCCATCATGGAAGGGATAGCATTTTGTTCTTAATGAAATAGACACTAATTCTGGATATGGATGTGGGTTCCCTGCATGCAATGCTTCTATCAAAACTACCATTAATGGACGTAAAGAATCCCTCATCTACCAGCATGGTATTGCAAACAGCATTGCTTCTGATCAAGAAATTCACTTCACAGCAAAAGAAGTGCAATGAGCCTAGTCAGTATGGCTCAGCGGTTAGAGCATCGGCCTGTGGACCAGAGAGTCCCAGGTTCGGTTACCGCTAAGGGCACATACTTCGGTTGCAGTTTGTCCCTGGCCCTGTTTGGTCGTGTGGGTGGCAGCCAGTCAATGTGTCTCTCTCGTATCGGTGCTTCTCTCTCTCTCCCCCCCCCCCCCCCCCCATCTCTCACCTGCTCTATCTGAAGATAAACACAAAAATGTCCTCGGGAGAGGCTAAAAAAAAAAAA